TTAATTTCCAAAGACCAAGAATATAACCAGAAAATGCAATAGAATATAAAAGAATTCTATTAAAATTCTGATGAAAATGCCCCTGTATGAGCATCCGGAACAGCGACATGAAGCAGATAAGCTCAATGAAAAGAATACCATGCACAATGTGACCAAAATACCCCTTGGAGTATGCTGTTGGCCTAACATGGAAGTCTAATCTATTGGACTTTATATTTACACTTAGAGCTATCTTATAACCATTTATCTATGATCATTGTTTGTTTGTTTCAGTTCACGTGAGTTATTGATAGACCTTTCATTCTAAGAGCTGCATTTTGGTATGAAAAAATATATATAAACAAGAGCTGTTGATGAGGGAAGCTAAATCATGGAGGAACCTTTTTAGGAAAAGAAAACTCCATTGTGATTTGGTGAGTTTGACTCTGAGACAAAATTTCTGTTAGTTTACATTCTTGAGAATTTTTAAAGGGATTTTAATAATGTAGGTTCTATACATGTAGGGATGTTATGGCATCAGGATGAAACCGTTTATGGGAGCTGCTTGTATCATAATGTTGTATATTGTATATAGAACCACAAATTATCAGTATCTGGAAACCGAGGTAAACATTGCATTTGATTGGATTATTGAAGACAATTAGAATGGGTAAAGATCATAAATCTTGAAAGATTGAAGTTACAGGCAATGTACTTTATTCAGGCAAACTGCAAGAAATAGAGATGTACTTTATTCAGTTTTTAAAATGTTTTGGAATTGTCAAAGCCCATGGCTTGACTAATATGAATCTTTTTGTTATTTGTCTCATCAGATGGAGTCAAGATTGGATCCACTCTACTCATCAAAGGTAGATTTTTGAAGTCAAGGGAATCTTACTTCTCTCCTTTAGTCTCTGACTCTCTGTACTGTGTTTGTGAGTTTGTCAATGGGATAAAATCTTACTTTAGGTTCCTTTTTTATAAAGTTAATGTGATTTTCGTGCTATTTTCTAGGAATATGCGTTAGCTTCCACAAATTTGAAGGGTTTACCTCGTGGTATTATTGAAGCTAAATTTGACTTGGAATTAAAGCCTTTATGGTCTACAAGTAGCTCAAAATTAAAGGTTACACACGAACCTTAAGGGTTAAATGCAAGAATTAGCAATGCAGTTTAATTGATTTGTTTATTGTAGGATAGTACAACATTCTACATTTAAAAATCTACCCAATTTAATGTGCATTGTTGTAATGGAAAGAAATGAAAGTAGGATGCTATAATAAACAAATAAGGAAAGTACATTGCTATTTCTTGAATTTACCCCCAACTTTAAAAGTTTTAGTTTCAAACTTTCAATAACAATAATTTGCATGGTCTTCCAATTGTTGTGTATTGAAGGGTGATGTTTCAAGTACACATAGTTTGCTGGCAATTCCAGTGGGTCTCAAACAAAAGCGTAATGTTAATATTGTTGTTCAAAAGGTACAACCATTGATTAACATCTAGGCCTAGGCCCTGTTTTATTTGTTACCCATGACATAACATAAAAAAAGACGTGAATGCCCTCCTCATCCTCATCATTGAAAATAGCCCTAGAAAGCTTTTCCAGTTATGTTTTGTCCCGTGTAACCCTTAATGCTCTATATTTTTAGTATGTTTTTTGATTTGTGAATTAACATTACTTTTTTTTTCAGTTTCTTACAACAAATTTTACATTTATGTTATTCCATTATGATGGAAAAGTGGATGGGTGGCGTGATCTTGAGTGGAATGACAAGGTCATACATATTGTAGCCCACAACCAAACAAAGTGGTGAGCTCATATCTGTTTGTTAAGGTTAAGGACATGATATAACAGAAAAAAGTTGCAATCTTTTGTAATATTATTTACTACTTTCATCCTTCTGCGCAAAAGACATAAATGCCCATCCTCCTGACTAAAAAGAGCACTAGAAAGATATGAAAGAGAATTCGTAATAGTATTATTATTTAGTGAGCTACAAGCAAATGTCATTATGAGAGAAAATCCGTGATAGTATTTAGAAATGACAACTGAAAATCATTGCCTACACTATCAAGAGATTAATAAGAAAAAATGAAAGTAGGATGCTCTAATAAATAAATAAATAAATTGGTTGTCTTAATATATTAGTTGTTTTATACTGAATGTAAATTAGTTGTCTTATTTTAATTTTTGATTTTGTAAATAAACATGTCCACATTAGACGTTTAAAGAATTAAATAATTAAATGCTATTAAAGTTGCTTTTTGTTTCCAACTATACAACGCCAAATTCGCTACATGTTTTAATAGAAGATTTATTTTATCTTATAAATAGATAATTTATACATTTAAATATTAAATAGTTAAATACGTATAAGATATCTATTTATAAGATACACTTAGGTATATCATAACCAATTTGTGACATCCCATAATTTCTCGGCCAGAAAAGACCGATTTAATTTATGCTTTTTAAAATAAAATCAGAGAAATCTTTTCAAAAGATGTTGCGGAATAGGTCCCCAAAATAAAACATGATAAAAGTTTATCAAAACCCTTCTTTAAGAAGGTATATATTTTCCATATATATATATCAAAACCTCGGGATGTCATGTTCCGATACAGATCAAAAGCATAAACAAGACATTATAAGCCTTACTACGGTTATTTACAACTACTGGCCTATAATCAAAAATCTCTCATCGTCCTCCGACTATGCTCGGGGTCCACTACTTGTAATCATAAAAAGCTGAGTGGGTCAGGCTTGGGAGCCTGGTGGGCATATAGGGTTTTCAACCCACAATAATAATAACATATTAAGTTCACCAATCAACAATAACCCTGATTACCCATTCCCGTTGTCCTCACTTTACGTCCCTAAACACCTAACACAAGGGACTTAACCTAAGGAATATCATCGGGTTGGACACTACTGCTAAGGGGACTCCTCAGCCATACATGTCCTAAAGGCAACCATGAGGGGGATTGGAGTACACCAATGAACATTTAGTTCATCAACACCTACAAGTTGCGAACTTGCTAGTGTACCACTGGACTGTCTAGAAAGGTCCGTGATCGTCATCTATACTCCGCTAGACGACTACAATAACACCAACAACAACACCGACACCGAGGCCTCTCATCATTTTAACACCCACCGACTATTTTGTCTATCCATGTTCTACCCAACATATTTGTAGATAAAATACATATACAGTTTAAAACTTGTATAAAACATCAATTCAACAGTCACCTCAAATAAACAATTAACATATTTACACATAACACGTATTTTAAGGTAAATACTTCATATCTATGTGTAAATTGAAAGTAACTACACACTCACTTGTTTTGATGAAAATCGGGCAGCAATTCGTTTCCTAAAACGATTGTTTCTAATAAAACCGGGAGTTTTATTGAGAAATCGGGCTCTGCAAAAGCCGGGCTTCGAAACCGAAAAGATAAATTTTCTGGGCTTCATGGGCACTTCGTGGCGTATTCCGGGGCTTATAATTGATACCGGGGCTTCGGGGGATGTTAATATGAAAGAAATATGGGTTTAGGGGCTAAAAGTGACAAGTTTTCAAAATACCCCCGGGAGGTCTCGCACCCTTCTATTTATAGGGGCGAGCCTCCTGATCCAACCGCTGAGAAGAAGCCACGCATCGCAGATCCGAAGCTCGCAGGGGATGGCTCGCACGAGGCTGCACATGCGAAGGCCTTCGATGTCCTCTCCTGATTGGACCGAGGTCTACTGGTCCGAAGTAGAGGCATCGTGGCAGCTTGCTAGGGTTCGGTGTCGTGCAAGAAGGTACGTGTCGCATCGCTATTGGACCGCTTCGGATATGGCCAGGTGCTCGGATGACTCAGCAGCTCGGACACGTGGCTCGCCTGACTCACCAATCTCGGACACATGGCACGTTCTAAGCGAGGGTGACGTGGCAAATCGTGACTATGCGAATTTTCTCAGTTTTTGTGCAAAAACTTCTAAAATCCATAACTTTCGCATACGAGCTCCGTTTTTGACGTTCTTTATATGCACGCGTAGGTACAATTATGCTCTACAACTTCCGTTTAGACTTTGTCGGCTAATTTTGAATTTAATTTTTATATTATTATTTTTAACAGACCGGGACATGAAATCCGTTAAAAAATTCATAACTTCTTCATCCGACGTCCGTTTTCGTCAGACTTTTTACCGTTATGCTACTATTTACGAGACCTTCGATTCTCGTTTAGGTCGTGTCGGCTAAAAATCACTCGATCTAAAATTCGAGTTTTTAGCTGTCTACTGCTAAGCTGAAACTTCGAAAAATCATAACTTCCTCATACGAAGTCAGATTCGGGCGTTCTTTTTATCGAACTTCTCGGTTTAACGAACACTACGAGTTTCGTTTAGATCACTAAGGCTAAAAAGTAGTTTATCGAAAACTTACTTTTTACGACATTCAGCACCGAGCCGGTTTTGTCGTGAAACTTCGACAGGTCATAACTTCTTCGTTATAACTCGGATTTCGGCATTCTTTATATATCCGTAATCCTTGTCACGACCACTACAACTTTCTTAATAGATATCGGCTTTATCTAAAATTTAATTTTGACGCTCATTTTTATTCTTAATTAATTAACTCCTAGTAATTAAGCATAAAACACATAAAACACATACAATTCACATAATTCCTTTTTCATTTCTTCAAAATGAGTTACAAAGGTTAACGTAGACTATCACATTAATATTAATGCCTAGGCTAGAAACACGAGTGTTACACAATTCAAACAATTTTATGTAACAATAAAAACAAATAAATATGCAAATTTGTTAAAGAAAATCTTTTCAACACTGAAACAATATATACTTTTTTCAAATAACTGAAAATACAAGATATTACACTTTGTTGCCCGGCTTCCATATCATAGTATTGAAAACACATATCATATTATTCGAAATCATCTCGATGCTAGAAGAGTTAACATTTTTAACGGAATAAACATAAAAATGATAAATACTAAATTTGATTTTTATATAAAATAGCAATTCAACATAGACAAGATTACACGATTGGTCTGTTGACTACAATTACAGCTACTTGTATTCAAATTTTGACCGCATTTGAGACACAAACCTTTACACATCGGATCACATATGGCATTGATCTTTATTTCCAGATGCACCATGTGTCTTAAATTCTTTGATATGTCTATCACTTTCTCTTCAGGAGGGAAATACAACCAGTGATCTAAGTCAACAGATGCTAAATCATCATCTTCTTCTTCTTCAGTTCCATTGACCTTACTTTGACCATAAATTACTCCCATGTTTATTGTTTCAGGCTCTTCTATTGGCTCTTCACTTAGTACAATTGAGAAATTAGAGAACACACAATCAGCAGCAGATCCACCATTACTTCAATCAAAGTTTGAACAAACAATTACAAATTATGTCTCTGTACTTTGAAAAGTATTTAAATTGTGTCCCTATACCTTTTGCATCCAAGAGTTATGACTGTTCGTATGATCCCATCAAGCTTTAAGTTGTGCTTCTTTCTGGTAACATCCATGGATATCAAGACAGGTGTTCCATGTGGATAATCCTTCACTGACTTTGTGACACGTGATCCCATTAAAGAAGCTCGAGATCTTGAAACATCAGTAGAAAGATGTCCTAATCCTAATCTTTCTAAGGTTGTGCAATAATCAATGTGGTAGATTGAAGGGTTCATTTGGTACAAAATTGCCCCTTTCCCAAGGTCAATCCATGGAGTCATCTCCTTCTCCTTGATCTATCCAATCATCTTCCATACTGTTTTCATCACTAAAAGAGTTCATAACTGGAGTTCATGGAGGATTCTCTTGCTATGAGTTTCATGGGTATGTGGTTATTAGGAAATAAGCATTTTCGAAGAATGTTGCAGTGGATAGAAAAATGGTGTCAGGCTCCTTGATGACTTCCCTTCAACTACAAGCCAACATACATAACTGATGTACATAATTTCAAAATCTAACTATATTTTAGCAAAAATAGATTGAAATGTAGTCATAGATATCAATGTTGAATATAGAAACTTGCCATTGTCTGTAACCAATCCAATTCGTGTATGTTTCTATCTCTCCAATTCAATAAAGATCATAATCAAATATAAAAACCTAAAATAGAGAACTTTTCTCCTTAAATAAATGTCAAAATAGAGATCATAACCAAATATAAAAACTTACAAAATTAGGGAGGATTTTGTTTATAAAAATTGCAAAGAAATCTAACATTATAAAATGTCAAATTATTAGCTAATAATCCACATGGTTTTTACTTGGACACATGAAAAAATGAGACATGTTAGTTGATACCAATGCTATTTTAAAAAGTTAAGTTTGAATATATTTTTTCCAAATTTCAAATTTGCATTCATAAATCTGATAACCGTGATATCCCAAAAATTGCATATTTAGCTTTGTTGTTATTAATGGTTTAAAGGTAAAAAGACATTGCTATTTCATACCAGTATGCCATAATTCATAATATATATTTTTTCCTTTTTTTTCTTTTTTTTTTATGTAAATTTAGTATAAAACATTCATAAATATTTTGTTCTTTTATAATAGTAAAAATACGACAAAATAAAATTATATATACCAACATTCCCAAATTGCCCATGCATTGTACATTTATTTTTACTACACATTTTATAACAACAAATTTGTATTTTTTTTGCTTTGTACCTTTAATCATAAACCCATACTTGGATAAAGTTTGATATATATATATATATATATATATATATATATATATATATATATATATATATATTATATATATATATATTATTATAAAAGTCCCGTTTAAGCATTATACTTAATAAACACTTAACTTCAAACAATCATTATTTTGTCCACAAACAGATAAATGGCTCAAACCACAATTGCTAATTGTAGCAACCCTTCGTCATTGATCGTCTACTCTGAAAATGAAGATTTCCTTCATAATTTTGATTTCCATAGGATTGCTGATCTCCAACAAGTACATCAGGTTTATATACATCACTTTCATTTACAATATCTAAATTATGTGAAATTGGTTTTGTATTATTTATATCTTAATCCTTGATTATTATTATTTTATACTAAAATTTAAACTTCCATTAACATTTTTTAGGAAAAAACTTTAATTGTTGTCGGTACGATTAAGCAAGTATGTGCTGAAGGGGAATGGTATTGTTTTACTTGTACTAGATGTCAACCGAAAGTCGTAAAACAAATTTTAATCCATGATGATCAGTTTCAAGATAAAGAAGTTTTTTATTCTAACACTTCAACCTGCATGAACAAAGTCATTTCTATTGTTCCCAGGTTTTGAAACTTATTTTATAAATATTGTTATATTGTTCTATTAAATTATATAAATTTATATTACCAAATCTATTTACATCAATGCTTTCAGTTTGAAAATCACCATTATAGTTGAAGATATTACCGGTTCGGTGTCACTTACTTTATATGATTCTGACGCAAAGAAGCTTATAAAAAAAACGCACAAGAGTTGGTTATCAGTTTTATGAGGTTATACATATTAACTTCATTTACATAAAACAAATTTATTATTTCGTATATCTATTTTTATAAACGTTCTTTTTTTTAGGATGATAATAACAAAATTTATCCATCTGCTCTAAATATACTATTGGAGAAAAAGATGGCGTTCAAAATTCAAATTTCACATGACAATTTGAAGAACAAAACAGAAGGTTATGCTATCTCAAGGATCACGTCTAACAATACGATCATTGAAGAATTGAAAAAAATATTAAAAATGGATCGGGTAAAATTCTTTACCGTCAATACTACAAACATTATACTTATTATCATTTCAATTCGTATGTCGTAAAAGATTAAATTTTAAGTTTTTCTAATATTATTATCTTATTATTTCTTTCTTTTGCAGTTATCGTTATTGACTTCTGAACTAATTATTGAAATTATTTCACGAACATCATTACAAACATTTGCTACTATACGTTGTACAAATAAATATTATGGAAATCTAACACAACAACCATGTTCTTCATAACTACAACCGTAGAAATAATGTCGTTTGTGGAATTATCGTTCAACAAAAAAAAACATGGAGAAATATAGAGCGTCAGTTTGTTCCGTCTTCTGCTAACAACAATCTTGACATTGATTGGCTACCACATACTTGTACTATTTTAGCATCATCCTTGTACGGACTCCTTCTTGTTGAATCCTATGATCCAAATGAATACGTTTCAAAGATTTTATTTGTTATCAAACCAACGACTACAGATTTCAAATGGATACCGTTTCCGACCTCTGAATACACTGTGGTAAAGTTTGCTTTGGTAGTTATCAGTTCGAACCCGTTATATTTCAAGGTCATTCGATTGTCATACACAAAGCCATCGTAAGAGTTTATATGTAGTATATTTTATGTTATTAATTTACTTTATTATTTACTTATATGTTATTTTATTTGTAGTGATATGCTTAAGGAAAAAGTGGACTACGATTACTACAAGATAGAATTGTTTTCATCTACTACATGGCAATGGAGGGAGTTTCAAAATATCCAGTTACCATCATTTGTTTTTCCTGTTTCTGATGAGGCAGTTACAAGTGGCGGTGTCGTTTACTTCTTATTATCTAATGATACCATATTGCGATTTGATATTTATTCAGAAGAACATATACTCATATTTTCACCTTCTATTATTAATGACTTCAAACCGTATGCATCGAGACTGATCAAGTTTCACGGAAAATTAGGATATTTCTCTGTAAGTGGAGATCGTTTGTGGGCTATTTGGGTTTTCATTCACAATCGATAGGTTAAAGTAGATGTTAGTAACTACAATGAAGGTCCACATGAATGGTGGGATTATAGAAACAATACCTTATATTTCTTTAACGAAAATACGATTGAGTATGTGGTTCCGGCACATCCTTCTCAACAAGTTTTTTCAATCCGTTCTGATTTTGATAGAGTGACTATGCCAAGTAGATATTAGTGATTATATATATTTTAATTTGCATTCGAACATAGTTGTTTTTTGTAATGAACTATTTAAATATTTTATATTACTTTATGATTTATTAGTTTTTTTTTTATTTATTCTTTTAATTGTTATGAGGTTAAAATAGCTATTGTAATGTATGTTAATGAATTTAAAATAGCTATGGTAATGTACTTTTAATTGTCATGCTTCCTATGATGTAATATATGTTTATAATTCCATGTTTTTTTATACGCTCACGCGTTTAACGCGGGTCATAATCTAGTTATATTAATAAGTCTCATCTTAAAATGGTTAAATGGGAAATTAAAATACTTAACAAAATTAAAGCTAATCAAACGTGTTAAAGAGTCGAATATACTGAAAATCATCAAAAATATATTTCAATGTTTAAACCTACTAAATCTCTTTATTAAACATAAATCAAGAATTACGATGATATGGTATTTATGATCATACTTTATAAAATCAATTATTTTTTGTTGTGACTTGTGACCCACAATATATATAAACCAATTATAATATATAACTAGATTATTACCCCCGTTAAACGCGGGGAACACATAAAAAACATAAAAACGTCTATAAATTTTGCATAATAATTAAAAAAGAAAATTTTTGTGAAACAAATGAAAACAAACATAAACTTCAAAATCAAAACAAATTACTTGTCAAACAAATCCATAAGCAAACAATAAAAACTAATAAAAAAAGTCTTCAAACTAAAATATCAAATAATTATGAATGGTTTAAACTTATTCGAGCTTTTCTATTTTTGGGATCTTCAAAGAAGGAGCAGCAACACCATTCAAAAAAGACCATTCAAATGATTCGGTGGTGGTAACAATCTCAATAAGCTGCTCGACTGAAGTAGTTGTTGGCGGTAACAATCTCAAATGACTCGGTGGTGGTAAGATAGTACATTTGATTTTATCCTCGGTAATCATCTCAGAGTCCAATGATGAGAACTGTAAAACAAAAAAACAATAAGCAAAAAGAGCGTCATTAATGTAGAAATAAATTCATATGTTACCTGTTTGAGGTTAATTTTTTTTTCAATTGAGCAATGATTGTATTATCAGCAATGAACTTTGAAATTTTATAACCATCAACTTTGTTCTTCAAAATTTGAATTTTAAACACCAACTTTTTATCCAAAAGTACATTCAAAACTGATGGATAAATCTCCATATTACCATACTAAAAATGAACGGTTATAAAAAATAGATAGACAAAAAGTTAAAATTAGTTTTATGTAAATGAAGTTAATATTGATAACCTCATTGAAATTTTGAAACAACTCTTGCGCAGTTTTTTCAAGAAGTATCTTTGCGTCACTATCAAATAACGTAACTGACACCAAACTGGTAAAGTCTTGTACCCTAATGGTGATTTCGAAACTAAAACCATTGATATAAACAAATTCAATAATATAAAATTAGAAAGTTTAACCGAACATTATAATAATATATATAAAAGAACTATTGAAAACTTTGGAACAACAGATATCTCTTTGTTAATACAAGTTGAAGTGTAACGTTTCGTCATCATCTATTGGCCATCATACCGAAGGTGTTCAAAACAGTAAAGAAGTCTTCTGCAGCTCAATCAAAGTGAGCTTTCGGCTCCATTGACGCAAAGAGGGAGATTGTTGAGTCTAATTGTGTTGCGTCATGGGCTTATGTTTTGTATCCGGATTGGGCCTGTCCATCCGTGATTAGCTAGTAGGGTTAGACTATAAA